AAAAAAAAAAAAAAAAAGATGTGTGAACTCAGACAGCTACTCACCTGGCCAAGCTCCTGTTTCTTCACTCTAAAACGGGGCGAATAGTACATTCATTTCTGAGCTTGAATTAGGGGCGCCATGGGTAAAGCACGTCACCGTAGCACAAGGTTAAGAGCCCAGGTTGCGGAGTCCTGAAGGTCCGACTTCAAGCCCCAGGGCTGTCTGCTACTGGCCGTGTGCACGTGCGTGCTTCCCCCACCTGTCCTGTCTACCCCCTAGAGTGAGGATGCGGGTAGAATAAAGCCGGGGCTCGGGGTCTGCTCACCGGGAATGCTCACTGCGCATCAGCTCCTAACAGCATAAACGTGCCGCTCGCGGGGGCGCTCAGCGGTGACCGTCGGCTGGGGGCTTCTTTCTCGGCCCGGAGCTGACCACTCCCACTAGCCAGCCCCCCCTCAGTAGTTGCACGGACACAAACCCACTAGCCAGCCCCCGCCCACCCCGCCGCTGCTGAGTCCGGGTCCCTCCCCGCCCCCCTTCTCCCTGCCATCCTTACGGCAGCCCTTCCTGCTGGACAGTCGAGCTGTTGAGAGAGAGACTTCCGGCTGCTGCAGAGGGAGTAGGGCTGCCGGTCTGTGCAAGCTGCGGATTTCTTGATCATCGGGAAATCGGTGTCTCCGGTGCAGCAGGGATTAACACCTAAAGCACAAGAGGAGAAACGGCAGAAGTCACGTGCGCTCTCAACACGCAAATGTCCGCTGAGAACACCCTCAGAGCCACCCCAAAGCCACGGGCAGGCGCAGGGGGACAGCCCAGGCCGCTCCAGCCCCGCCTCTGCCCCCCAGCCCCCTGCCACCAGGCAGCCCGAGAGCGGTTCCCACTCCCACCACGGAGCTGGGGTCAGCATGGACGCAGGCCCCGGGGTCCGGACAGAGCGGGTCCCCTAAGCAAGGACTGGTCTGCAAATGGCTCGTGGACGTGCTCCCGCCACAAGGAAACAGGTCAAGATTACCATCGCAAATTAAACATACAGCATTGATTGAGTTCATTGAAAACGTGGTGAAGTTACTCTTGAAAGGGAAACTGTACATTGTGATGATTGTGCAATAGTAATACGACTTTGCAAGTTACGGTGAAGTTGAATTACGGAATGGAAAAATAAACAGGGAAAGAGACGAGGGGTGCAGAACACCATTTTCCAAAGGGGGGCAACTTGGAAAATAGAGCCTCAGGTATTCCTTAATTAATGAAACCCAACTGATTAATTAATTAACGTCACGTAAAGGAAACCAAATGTAGTGGGGATAAAAATTGGAAACACTTTCCAAATCGCTGCAACATTTAGGCACACACCCAGAGCAAGAAGCAGGGAACAAACAAGTGATAATAACAAAGTATAAAAAGCAGAAAAATGAAACCAAATATTATTTGTAAAACTAACACCATTGGCCTGAACGTCTCTCCTTAAAGAGATGGCCACGTTTGCTTTCAAGATCTAACCGCACATCATTTCCAAGAGATAAAACAAACAAGCAGAAAGAGTACAACGAAAGGCAGGCAGAAACTGACCACCGGTAAGCCGTGCTGGACCCAACTTAAAAACACGTTTAGATTCTTGCTTCACATCAAACAGCAAACATTAATGATGGATATAGTAGGCTTTTTAAAAAAAAGGCAAATTGTTTAAAAATTAGAGAGAAACATAGCCAAATATTTAATTGCCCTCTGGATGTGGAAGAAACTTTATATTAGGAAGGAAAAAAATCTATAGGTTTGATTATATAAAGATATTCTTATCTTTATGTTAAAAAAAGACTTAAAAGAAAGACAATAAACTGAAGAAAGTATGTCCCACAAATATGACAGCCAAATATTAATGTAACTAAGAGGCTTTTTATAAATTAATGCTAAAACTGATCACCCGAGAGAAAAATAGGTGGACTCCCCAAAAAGAGAAAGGGATAAACAAAGGAACGTTTAAGGCAGCTGTGTAAAGAGGCTGGTTTTCGGGGCCAGCGAACCAGTCAGGTGCGAGCCCACGAGGCCCCTGAGAGGAACGAATGAAGGGCCGTGTACAAAGGGTGGACAGGGTTTAGGAAAACAGCGAAGGCATCCAGGTACCCAGGAACTGGCAGGTGCCTTCCCAGAGCCCAGTGGGTGCTGGGTCCACGGAAGGCGGGCCACCCTGACCTGGTGTCTAGTCCCAGCCAGACACAGCCTGCCAGGACCACAGCACAGAGGCAGAGGGAACGGGGAAGAAATGCTCCAGCAGCTTCTCCTCCATCCTCCAGTCTCCTGTGGTGCTCCACGGGGGCCAGGGGGCCAGGGGCCAGGGTCTGCTTGGCGTCCAGGGCACAAGCAAGGCTGGCTTCGTGGGCATGCACCTGTGAAATCGCACAGAACCCCACACTTAGAGGGGCCTAGGCTTGGGCTTTAATGCCCCACCGCCTCCATTTTGAAATTCTTAATAATGTTTGAACAAGGTTCCCACACTTTCATCTTACATGGATCCCCGCAACTCATGTAGCCAGTCCTGGGTGCGAAGAGGACCAGAAAAAAGTTGGGGGGCAGGGCGGAGAAGAGGGGAATAGAGAAAAATCTGCGGCAAATATATACTGTTAAATTTTAATATGGTGTGGGCTATGATCGAAGAAAGGTACTCATACACATTTTTGGAGTCTTAGCTACTTAAATTTGGCAGCACAGATCAAAATCTAAGGTGTAGTTGCCTTTTGAAACTCCATTTCTAGGAAATTATTCTAAAGGGGGAAATAAGCAAAAACTTATGATAAAAAAAAAAAAAAGCAACTAGCAGTCCCAAAATAGGAAATGAGCTTGGCAATCATGGTTTAAAGAGTGCATCCTACAGCTGAGTAATATGTGACGGAGTTGAAGGCACTTGCCCAAGGTTGCATGGATCATTAGTTCTGGAAGCAAGTGTGCACTCCTAACCATGCTCCCATCCACCGCCCCTTATGTTTCCCGAAGAAAATCATCACAAACGTAAGCACAATTTTGTGGACAAACTCAACAATGCTGATTATCTTAGTGAAAAACGGAGAATAAATTAGTTATCTAATACTAGGGAGTTGGTTAACTAGGTTAGGCACATTCACATAATGAAATACGAGGCACCCACTGAGCATGGTGTTTACAGAAGAATTTCCAAGGACATGAAGTCGTGCTGTGTGTATGCGCGTGCGTGGACGCGAGCTCTATAGGCATGTAGAGGCGTAGGAGGGGAAGAACGGAAAAGGTTAACATGGATGATTTCTAATATCAGCATGCGGTGATAAGAAAAAGCATCTCTTGATGCTTTTCTGCATTCTTCAAATGCCCTGACTTTGGAGTAGGGCTATTCTCTTTGCAGCAACCAAGAATCCTGACATCCTTCAGCCTCCACTCCCATCCGGTGACAGATGAGGTGCTGGAGACCTTGGGAGAGCCAGTAGCCTTCCTAAAATCAAGGAGCACGTCAGAAGACAGAGCAGGAGGAAAGCCCTTGTCTTTTGTCCCCTATGTCGGCTCTTCCCAACATGGCACTTAAGTGCCATGGACACAGAAGCACTCCCAGAGTGCGAGCAGACCACAGCCATGTTTAATCCAACTGAACCAGCCGAGACCCACCCTCCCCCAGATCTCTCCATGTCACTGATATTCCTGGTCCTCAGCGACAGTGAGGCTTCATTCCTGAGGACAGTTCCATGACGCACTTACTGGTTGAATTGCTGCGTGTCCTTTGATGACAGGCTTTGGGAAGCAGGAAAGTACTACTTTGCACTTCTACTTTTCCAGACCTTTCTCGGGAAGAAGTTGTGGAAGCTTCCTGCAAAACAGTTCCCACCTTTTATTCAGCAAGTCAGAACAGAAAAACATGCGTAGACAGCAGAGGTTTGGGCACGGCCATGGAAGTTCTGGTTGGATTGTCTGTCTCCACCAGTAAATTGTAGGCTCTGTAAAGGGATTTAGAATCACCGTCATCCATTCATCTATAGATAGAGTCGCCCATTTAATAAAAATTGAGTGAATAGATAGACTATGTAGATACTGATCTAAGGCAACAGACGCCAAATAACCATGTCAGCCAATAGGTCTCTGATTCTTTGTCATGCGCTGGGGAAACAGGTGCAAACAAGCCGGCCAGGACACCGATGTTGGAACAATGCTGTTCTAGTGGAGGAAGGCCCTCAGCAAGTAAGAAAACAAGTACGAGTGATCAGTGATGACAGAGATAGACCAATGGAGGAAAGACCTCCCCTGAACGGGAAGCCATGGAGACGTGTTTCATGTCAGTCAGTTCCCCCGTTCTGTGCATAGGAAGCACTTAGAAACTTCTGTGGAATGAATGCTACATGAATAGGTTTCTTTTTTTTTTTTTAATTTTTTTATTATGTTAATCCCCATACATTACATCATTAGTTTTAGATGTAGTGTTCCATGATTCATTGTTTGTGCATAACACCCAGTGCTCCATGCAGAACGTGCCCTCCTCAATACCCATCACCAGGCTAACCCACCCCCCTCCCCTCTAGAACCCTCAGTTTGTTTTTCAGAGTCCATTGTGTCTCATGGTTCGTCTACCCCTCCGATTTCCCCCCCTTCATTCTTCCCCTCCTGCTACCTTCTTCTTCTTCTTCTTTTTTTTTTCTTAACATATATTGCATTATTTGTTTCAGAGGTACAGATCTGAGATTCAACAGTCTTGCACAATTCACAGCGCTTACCAGAGCACATACCCTCCCCAGTGTCTATCACCCAGCCACCCCATACCTCCCACCCCTCCCACTCCAGCAACCCTCAGTTTGTTTCCTGAGATTAAGAATTCCTCATATCAGCGAGGTCATATGATACATGTCTTTCTCTGATTGACTTATTTTGCTCAGCATAATACCCTCAAGTTCCATCCACATCATTGCAAATGGCAAGACTTCATTCCTTTTGATGGCTGCATAATATTCCATTGTATACATATACCACATCTTCTTTATCCATTCATCTGTCGATGGACATCTTGGCTCTTTCCACAGTTTGGCTATTGTGGACATTGCTGCTATAAACATCGGGGTGCACGTACCCTTTCGGATCCCTACTTTTGTATCTTTGGGGTAAATACCCAGTAGTGCAATTGCTGGATCATATGGTAGCTCTATTTTCAACTTTTTGAGGAACCTCCATACAGTTTTCCAGAGTGGCTGCACCAGCTTGCATTCCCACTAACAGTGTAGGAGGGTTCCCCTTTCTCCGCATCCCCACCAACATACATGAATAGGTTTCTTAATATTGAACCATCCTTGCATTCTTGAGAGTATTATGATTTTATTATATTGCTGATTTCCATCTCTGAAGATTTAATTTAGTGCCTTAAAAACCAGCATTCTCAAGTTATATTTGGTTATGGTTCTCTTCGTTTTCTTCTACCTTGCCGTATTGTTCACATTTTCCTTGCTCTTTTTTTATACTAATAAGTTGGAGCACTCTCCCACGGTGCTGAGTTTATAAAGCAATATGTTAAACAGTATGCTTGGACTCATTTCTCCGTCAGAGTGAACAATGGAACAGAAAACATATGACTTGGGGGTTTTAGGGACAGAGGATGGAAGGACAGAGGGAAAGAGGTCAATAATGAGGATAATGGTATTATTATTTTATTTCTCTGCCTAGAACTGTTTTTATATAACTTTATTACCCACAATGATCTTGAACTAATTCTTGAATTATGTTGGTTGCATTACTCACTGCCATCATCCTTGAGTGTGTATGCATGCGTGTGTGTGTGTGTTTTCTCTCAAGAAAGTTATGCAGATGGAAAGCTCTCTGAATATTTGCATGTCTGAGAATGTTATTTTGTGGTTGTCACACTTAAATTATTTGCTGAGTGTGGAATCTTGGGTATTTGTCACCGGACCTAGAAACTATTGTCGGTTTGGATGCTACCTGGTATTTAAGTGTTCCGGGGTAGAGGTCTGTTAGGGGTACCTGCCGCCCTCTTCTAACTGAGAGGCCCACCTTTGTTCAAAGCCAGCCTTGTCGGTGCCTGGTTAATTTCATGGGTCCAGGGTGTGTGTGTGTGTGTGTGTGTGGACTAGAGCACCTGGCCCACTTCCCAGGATGGAAGGATGATCTACTCTTGCCTCCCACTTTGCATCCAACACCGCACCCTCCACCCCAGCCGTTGGCACTGTGAGCGGGCAGGTTCTGGGGGAAGGGGAGGGGGAGGGGCCTGCTGATATCTGCCCCACTCACTTCCTGCGTGGTCAGCGGCAGGCGAATTAGCCCTGCCCTCAGTCCAGAGTCACCTGCACTGTGTCATGCATGAAGTTCTCAGGGGTTCCAGAATGTGGTTGGCCTCTTCCCACAGCCTCTTGTTCTCCCCATGCACTTCTCCTTATTAGTCTATATATTCTTTGAATTTTGGTAGAAATAGACTTTTTTGGTAGAAATTCTAAGAGGCGGGGAATGAATAGAAGGTACTCTGGAGCCATCTGGAGCCAGAAGTCCACTCCCAGCCCTTTTTGTGTTTACAGTTTTATCTAGTTCTGACCCAAGAGGATCCTGCAAGAAACCACATATCGCTTTCCTTTTCTTTCTTGACCAAATCAGGGTTTAAAACCAGGGCTCATCTTCCTATAGCACTCGTTTTCCTATATTAACCTGAACAAAACTATCTTCAGCCAGGCTCCCCTGAGAGTCTCCAAACGGAAACAGAGCAGGAATTCTATGGAAGGGGGCTTAGTTCATTTGAATTTTTGAGACTCTATATTTCTAGGATTTAGCATCCTGGCTAGTTCTTTGAATCAACTGCTTCATTCAATATAATAGCCAATGATACTTCTTAATTACAATAGTCCCTGAGGCCATGTCCTCTGATATTATTCCCACTTCTCCATGCTCTCCAGGGACACCATGCAAGTAAACAATTAAATGTGAATTCAGTAGCTCTTTTGGGTTCGCTGAACATAGAGAAACCTAGTAAGACAGCCAATACGTCTTCTCGTCTAAAGTGCAGCCTTATTTGCAAAGTACCTTTGAAATGTGGATTTTCCCCCAAATCTCTAAAAAGATGAAGATAAATAAGTAAGCAAGGTATATACAAACATGAATCATCTTTAAAAATCATGTTTATAAAGAATTTTTGTAATATACATATGGTTGTATTATCATGGTAGGTAAAAAAAAAAAAGATGCTATGAATAGATCTCACAATAATCATGTAACATAGGCAGAAGGAAAGGACTGAAAATGAATACACCAAAATAGTAACATTATCCATTCATCAAATGTTTATGAAGCACTTACTATGCACGAGGCCCTATTCCAGGTAGTGAGATTATGTCAGTGGACGGGGTCCTGCTCTTACGAGCTGGCAGAGCGCGTCTGTGTGATGGGGTTATGCATACCTATTTTCCAATTTCACAACCCCCTGTATGTTCCACGTTTCCTACAGCAAGCGTGGATGACTTTTACAACCAGACCAGAAACAAAATGCCATTTTATATGCATTTCAAGTGTCACATGAGTAAACTTAAGACAGTATGTTGAATGTTCTTTCCTTTTTTTCTTTCCATCATCTTTATTAAGCTCCCTGTCCAAAACAAAATTTAGAAATAGCTCGACAAGCAAAGCCAACTGATGGCAGGAGAATCATAGGAAGTGGAGACTTTTTTTTTTTTTTTGGTCCAGATTACCTGGAGATGAATGTCATGTTCAGAAGAGGGAAGCTTTCTTTGGGGTTTCAGGGTTGGCTGTAGGAAGCTTTATCCAGAACCAGCCAGATGAACCCCTGGACCCCTCTGCTCTCTGCACACCAGTGGTGAAGCCTCTTCTTACCGGGCAGTGGGAGCAGCGACCCCACGGTGCGCAGGCAGGTCGTGGAGCCCCCTCTGCAAGCACAAGACAGCACGGAGGAGTCCCTTCCTTCATAGCTCTGCGTCCTCCCACCAGGACCTTCTCAGACTCGGGTGGCAGGCGGCTGGTCCCTTCCCTCTGCCACGGAGCCAGTCTCTGAACTAGCTGGAGGCTCCGGCAAACTGCGTCGACCCAGCAAGTGCCAAACTCGGATAGTCGTGTAGACTCGACGTGCTTCACTCTGGTGTGGCCATGGTGGGAGTTGGCTCCCTGGAGGGCTAGTGCGGGGAAGAACGGACATGTACTACCACCAACCGAAGGTGGGATCCAAGAGGCAATTTTCTATCAGACATGTAAAAAAAAAAAAAAAAGCCCAACTACATGACCCTGAAAAGTTCCCAAAATAGAGGCAGAGTGCACAAGTTTTGTGGGCCTGCAACTTCCTGGACACCAACAAGAACCCAGCACTCATCCACACTCTGGGATTATTTCAAGGTATAGTTCATTCTTTTCAATCCGTGCAACTCTGAGCATAATGGTTTCTTTAGCAGAAATGCACTGTGGGATGGAGTGGGTAGAGGGTATGAGACCAGCAACATTAAAACTCACACTACCCTGGGCTTGTCGCCTAATTGCTCAGACTCCGTTTCCCCCTTTGTAAGCCAAGGGGGTTGATTTAACAACCTCTATAATCGCCTTCCACACTTCCACACTTCAGAACACAACGGATGGATATGTTTAAAGATCTAACGGGCTACTGTCCTCTGGGAGATGATCACATGGTAGAAGATCGTTCTCGAGAACCACATCGCTTTCCTTGGCTCCCAGAGGCGCCTGGTCAGTCTCAGGCAAGATGTCCTGGGTGGCGTGGCTTCTTCTCAAAGGAGCCTCTGTGGGATCCCCGTGAACTTGGGCACAGTAAGGCGCCCTTGGCACACACAGAACACAACTCTTCTGTTCCTGCTGCCAAGGTGGGGCAGC